GCGGGGGGGGGGGGGGGGGGGGGGGGGGGTGTCCCAGGACCTGCAGCGGGAGGGGAAGGTGGCGAGGCCTGTCCCCTCACCATGCGGGAGGGGAGGGTGGGGACCAAGGGGGGAGCAGGGAGCCGGCACCTTCCATCTGCAGCCGGTACAGCATGGAGCAGCTGTCCACCACGTCCAGCATGGCGCCACTGGCCCGCAGGCTGGGGAGGATCTGGAAGGCAGGGTGGGCGGGGCCTCAGCAGCTCAAGTCCCCACCCCCCTCGTCCCCTCCCTGCCCCCCACACCAGGCACAGACCTGGGGGAGTGTGTGCGGACCCGGCATCCGCCACCTCCCACCCCAGCCGTGGACCCCGCTCCCGGACCCGCGTCTGCCCGTCCGCGGTTCTAGAAGGCTGGTCTCCACCTCGCGGGCCACGGCTCTCAGCACCCTTCCGCTCTCGCCACAAAGCCCTGACAGCGCGAAGGAAAAGGTCCCGACTGTCTTCCCTGGTGCTCAGACCCCACACACTTGTCTGACCTCAGGCCTCTGTCCTGAGGCCCGTACTGGGCTGCCTGGAGCTGGGAGTTAGGCTTTTTATTCTCTGAAAAGCATATCCAGCCCGGCCGGCGTGGCTCAGTGGTTGAGCATCGACCTATGAACCAGGAGGTCACGGTTCCATTCCCGGTCGGGGCACAGGCCCGGGTTTCGGGCTCAATCCCCAGTGTGGGGCGTGCAGGAGGCAGCCAATCCATGGTTCTCTCTCATCATTGGGGTTCCCCCCCCTCTCCCTTCCTCTCTGAAATCAATAAAAAGATATCTTTTAAAAGCACATCTAGGGGCGGGGCGAGGAGCGGGCAGTTAGTGCTCAGGGAGCACCGGGTGTGAGTTGGGAAGATGAAGAAGTTCTGGAGACGATGGTGGGCCAGATGCACACCAATGCGAACGGACTCGATGCCACAGACCTGGACACCTAAAGGTGGTCAAAATGGCCGGTTTTAGGTTCCATACGTTTTTCCACAATAAAAAATTCCTATCGGATCAATGGAGAAGAGGCAGGGATTTCAGAGACCACCAAGGTGTAATTCCACCACTGCCCGCAAGGGGGCACTGCCGACCCACGGTCTTCATCCCGCCACGCGGCCCGGGGACATTCACCGGGTCTTACACAGACTGTGTTCTGCTCCAGCGGTTGGTTGTTTCTGGCCGGGGCAGCCGTGATGGGCTCAAAGGTCTAGAGACTAAAAGCCAAATTGCCGCAATAAACCGAACCGTGTGCAAACAGGGACTTACGTGGTCGTCGTAAATGGTCAGCGCGGCCTCATACTCGCCCTGGAAAAGCGAAGTTCCCGTGGTTACTGCCGAGAGGGTGAGGTGTGATCGGAGGAATGACCGGGGAACGCGCCA